ACACAACACAGATATTGGTAACAACACAACCTGATAATTATTCGGATCAGTTTTGTCACCACTTTTATAAATAGGAGAAATAACTGAAGTTTTCCAACTGTTAGGAAATTCACCGGTTTTTATGATTAAATTTATTAAACAATGAATGTGTGGTACAAGTGGTATAATCGATAGTTTTATCATTTTAGTAGAAATGCCATCACTTCCACACGAATTAGTATTTTTAAGACATTGCATACTTAATGACATTTTCTTCGGTTATTGTATTTAATTTGAAATCACTTTCTCTGAGTGTATTATCACTTACTATATCATTGTTGAAAACATTTGACAAACTTATGGCACTTCTTAAACAAAATTCTTGTTTAAAATGTTTTCATTTATAGTGATTTCCTTATTACAGTATTTGGAGTACTTTTTTGTTTGAATAATATTCGAGATTACTTTCCATAAGTTTTTTGTGTCATTTTTATTAGAGTTAATCAATTCAGAAAAGAAATCACATTTGGCTTTACGTATCATATGATTTGCTTTATTCTTATGAGATTTATAATGGGTTTGCAAATCAATTATATTTTTGCCATTTTTGATGGCTTTTTGTAAGCGTTTATATGACTGAAACTTTTCGTATAATATATTAGGTGAAACAGAAAGTCCGTGGAATTTTTATAATTTTACAACAAAATAATATTTGTGTAATCATTGTTGTATTTTATAATACAATTTTTTATAGACAATACAATGTTTATATTTCATTTTGTGTAATCTATACATTTGTTTTATCACTTTGTTGGTGGTACGAAAACATTTATCTTTTCGTAGAATTTAGATATATTTTTTTATTGATAATTGACTCAGGTAATACTAAAAAAATTTCTGGAAACTGTACTTCACTATGAACAATCTAGTTTGATCAATATGTTTTATATGTTGGGATAATATTCTGTAATAATGACTTTTTTATTTCCTAATTGAAATGCAATTATTGGTATAATAATTTTAGTTGCTTAATTATTGTTTTGTTTTATATAATATTTTTTTACAAGGTAATACAAAATTATTAATTAATTTTTTATAAAGTTATAATCTATAAAAAGATATTACACATATTTTAAAATTTTGTGTATATTTTTTATAATTATTATAAAATTATTAAAACACATTTACTAGTACAGTATTTATTAGTGAAATATACTTTACTAATATTTGTTAATAATTATTTCAAAAATTATCATAGCAAATATGCTAATCTATTTAAAATTAATTTAAACCTACTTTATTACATAACGATCTTGTCAGATTATATTTACAAATAAACTGTTATAAATAAAAATAAAATACCAACATCTAACCAACAGTGAAGATTTTTTATTTAAACTGATCAACAAAAATAATTTACATCAAGTTATAATTTACTCTAATTTTGGTGTTACGGCATCGAAACCACCCTCAAATCCGCACTCATCATTGCCTCGTTTAATTTTGAAATAACCTTGGTCACCAAACACGGTGCCCCACGAGTTAGCCACCAACCAGTATTTGACACCATTATCCACACCCCAACCCATAAGCTTGACGGCGTGCAGTCCTTTTGCCTCACCGGTCACGTGCTGATAGACACCGGTTTTGTACGCGAAAAAGTCGTTGTATACCTAGGTGAAATATAAATGGACATTAATGCAAATGCAAATAATACTAAACATAAGAATTCTTTTAATTAATTTATATAAGTATTTACTTTTGACAACTGATTTATTAAGTTTTATTTATTTCGATATATAGTACTAACATATAATTTAGTATTATCACCCTGCAAATACATTTAAAAAACTATTATAGTTTATATATAAATTACACCTAGGCTACAATCTATTAGAATTTTTGTAACATTTTGTATCATTTATCTGTCAATAAATTATTATCAAATAATAATGTTAAATAAGTAAAACTTTATGGCTTACTGTAAACATAGCTGACACAGGTCCATTTGTCATGAGCTCTTTCTGAACATCTTTAAGGCTTACGCCATAAGCTTTACTACCAAAGTGTTTGTCCTGAGTGTACGTACGATTATAGCCCGCGATACACGACTTTTGACACTTAGGGGTCGGTACGTACGACGCACACGGGTGGTCACCAGTTATGGTGTAGGGCTGACAACCCTCATGACTGTCTACTAGACCACCGGTGATTACACCTGATTTGATATAGTAGTCAAACACAGCACTAGGCCAACCACCCTGGCAACTACCGGCGCCACTGCAGGTTAAGACATCTTCGGCAGAGACCTCTACCTGTTGTTTGTTTCCGGATGCAATGCATATGCGGTCGGATATGACCTCGGATGCAGAGAATGCCCAACATGACCCTGAACAATATTGTTAAATTTATTTAGAAATAATTAAATATTAAATATTTTCCAATAAAAAATTTTGGTATAAAATAATTTTTATATTTATATCTAAAGTGTATATTTATAATGAACATATTTTTATCTATAACAAAAAATAACAATTATTAAACTATTAAATTATTTAACTAAATAGCTCAAATATTTTTAATAATTAGCTACATTTAAATTTGAGCATAAGTTAATAATTTTATTTTTAAAAATTGTAACACACCTAATAACTTCTAAACTCATTTAATATTATAGTAGCATGATCAATAAATTATTTATTTTCAAAATTAATTACATACCACAACACCCTTGATTTCTAATCTCCTTAACGGTGTAACAGTATTTAAGGTGAATCCGGGGATCATAGTCTTCAGGTACGTTCTCATCAGCGATATCATAAGTAATGTCTGAGCTTGGTGGTAGTGGCTTATAACCGGGTGCCAGACCCAGTGCCGGTTCAAACCCTTTTTCAAAGTTTTTACCAGCCTATGAATTATATTAATATTATAATGTAATAATAATTGATAACATAATATAAAAATTAAAAATATATTACAAACCTGCCATGTAGTACCCAAACTATTTATGTAGTCAATTTGACTGCCGTGAGCAAGGCAAACTGTTAAAGTAACTCCTAAGAAAGCTTGAAATAACATTATTTTTTTAATAATTAAGAACTTTTTATATATATTTTTTTGATTACCCTTCAATTTATATAGTAGTTACATAATCTACCCACTTCAATTATCACTCAGCTGGTGGTATGAAAAACTTATCACTTTTCGTAGAAATTTTCTATTTTTCATTGTCACTCGACATAGGTGATATACTGTATTTTTATTTAATACGAGAATCATCTTAATCTATAAAATAAATTAACTATTTTAACTAATTATTGTATCCTTATTTAGAGTATGTTTTTATTAAATTAGCACTGTACCATTATTTCCAAATTGTATTGAAACAATAGATATCGATATAAATGTTTTTATCATCTTATTTTTTAGTATTTTACCAAGAACTACTTTCTCACTTATGTTTTCAAGGGCAGATTTTGTTAATAGTAAAGAAAATAAACTAATAAACTAATTAATATTTAAGTTTATTAAAATTGTTCAACAAATTTATAAAAATAAAATTACATAATTGTTCATGTACGATTGATTTTAATTTAGTTTTAAAAATGTAAGATACATTGTAAAATGAATAACTCAGTTATATAATCGTGTACAATTGAAAAAGTTCATTTGCACATTCAATGTAAAATTTTACATATTTATGTATACATTTTTAATAAATTAATATATTAATACCAAGCTAATTATTACTCTAGCTTCGGAGTCACGGCATCGAAACCACCCTCAAATCCGCACTCGTTATTTCCGCGTTTAATTTTAAAATACCCTTGCTCACCAAACACGGTGCCCCACGAGTTAGCCACCAACCAGTATTTCACACCATTATCCACACCCCAACCCATAAGCTTGACCCCATGACCTCCATTTTGCTTTCCGGTCACGTGCTGATAGACACCCGATTTGTATGAGTAAAAGTCTTCATATACCTAGTTAATAGTTATATAAAATAATTATTTTGATTTATAAATTATTTTATTGCGAATCCTAATTTAACTAAATTCAATTTACTATGCTGTAGTTATAAGGTTCATATTTGAACAACTAGTATTATTTTTAATATATATATAATTTAGCTGGCTATTTAACTTACAGTAAATCCAGCTGCCACAGGTCCATTTGTCATAATCTCTTTCTGGACATCCTTAACATCTACGCCATAGGATTTACTGCCGAAATGTTTGTCCTGAGTGTACGTACGGTTATAGCCCGCGATACACGACTCCTGACACTTTGGGGTCGGTACGGTCGAAGCGCACGGATGATCACCGATTATGGTGTAGGGCTGACAGCCTTTATGACTATCCACTTCACCCCCGCTGATAACACCCGACTCGACATAGTAGTCAAACCCACCACTAGGGTAACCATAACTGCAATTTCCGGCTCCACTACAGGTTAGGATATCTTCCGAAGAGACCTCTACCTGCTGTTCACCCTTCGATGCGATGCATATGCGGTCGGATATGACCTCCGCTGCAGAGACTGCCCAACATGACCCTGATGGATTTTATAAAATTTAGATATTCAAATAATTGTTTAATCAAAATTGCGACTTATGTGCATTAAATAAATAGTATTTTTGCTTTAATTGTGTAAATAATAATTTAGAGTTTAAATAAATGGTTTAAATATTTTTAATTTTAAAAAAATTAATTTAATTTCAGATTTAAGTTAATAATATAATTTGCTTGTAATATAAAATATATTTCTTTACTAATAAAATAATTTAATAATCTACGGCAAATTAATTATAAAGTAATTTTAAAATCAATTTCATACCACAACACCCTTGATTTCTAATCTCTTTAATGGTGTAACAGTCGGGCCATTGCACCCGGGCATCAAAGTTCTCTGATATGTCCTCATCAGAAATATTATAAATAATGTCTGAACTTGGTGGTAGTGGCTCATAACCGGGTAATAGACCTAGCACAGGTTCAGAGCCCTTTTCAAAGTTTTTACCTGCCTAAAATAATATCAAAATATTAAATATACATGCTCATTTAATAGTTTACAAACCTTCCATGTAGTACCCAAGCTATTTATGTAGTCAATTTGGCTACCGTGAACATGATAAATCGTTAAAATAACTCCTAATAAAACTTGAACCAACATCATTTTAAATAATTATTAACATTATTATTTTTTTAGTTTATGAATCAATTTATATAGTAAATGTTTAATCTACCCATATCAATTACTCCTCGGTTAGTGATATGAAAAACCTTTTATTTTATGTAGAAATTTTATATTTTTCCTAATCAATTGACATAAGCCATAGATGTGATAATATGATAGACCAAATGTACTAGTAAATAATTTCTATATACTTATATCAAAACTATTGTTTAAGTGCAAAATTTGGTACGCTTATTAGTCATTATAAGTTATGACATAGATAATACAATAATTATTTCATAATCCTTAAATTCCCAAACTTTACCTTATCATCAATTGCCCTCATCATGCATTATAAAAGTTCAATAAATAGCATGTTTATTTTATAATGTAGTGACATTTATTTATACATTGTAAAATTTCCAAGGCTAATTGATGATAACTTAGAATCTGGGAATTCAGGGATTATAACATGATTATTGTATCATCTATTTCAAATTTTATAATGACTAATAAGCGTATCAAAATTTTGTCAAATAATAAATGAACTATTCTATTATTGTTCTTCTAAAGAAAAAACTGGGTTGGCATACGCCATATGGCGCATTGCACAAATGTGATATCACCATACGCACCTTACTAATAGCACCATACGCAGTATGACAGCTAGTAAAATTTGCCGTACCCTGTATGGCACCCTATAACATAGAACCCTTATCATAACCTGTTATGACATTGATATAAAAATTACGTTTATTTAAAATAAATTATTTTAAATTTATAACATTGACGGGAAATGGAAACAATAAATAAAATTCCTTTGAAAATGTACCATATTAATTTTTGTGCAATATATAATCTAAAACTCTATTTAACCCTATTTAATTTAATACATATTATTTGAAAAAAATAACTTTAAAATTTTAAAATATTTATGTGCTTTTTGTCGGAGTTTGAGTAACCCACTGAATGTAACTTGGTAATAATGAAATTGAATAATGAACAAATTTGTTGAATGAATTATTATTGATTTATTTTAGTTTCAAAATTGAGCTTTCTTATACAATAGATCACCGTGGAATAATAATAACAATGATCTGATTGGTCACCACCATTATTACAGTACAAGTCCACTGTTATTCAATGGGGTTACGAAAGTAAAGTCTA